ACTAGAGTCCTGGAGATGGGAAGTACTGTGCCTGCACTCTGAAGGAGGGGTGTTAATGTTGCAGTTTAAAACCTGTAGTGTAAAGCACCCTTCTAGCAAGACAGTGATGGAGTGAATGATGGTGAAAGTTTTTCTTTTTCGGGCCACCCTGCCTTGGTGGGAATCGGCCAGTGTGCTAGTAAAAAATAACTAAAACTACTGTAAGTACCTCACATAAATTTTATTATTTTTTATTATCACACTGGCCGATTCCCACCAAGGCAGGGTGGCCCGAAAAAGAAAAACTTTCACCATCATTCACTCCATCACTGTCTTGCCAGAAGGGTGCTTTACACTACAGTTTTTAAACTGCAACATTAACACCCCTCCTTCAGAGTGCAGGCACTGTACTTCCCATCTCCAGGACTCAAGTCCAGCCTGCCGGTTTCCCTGAACCCCTTCATAAATGTTACTTTGCTCACACTCCAACAGCACGTCAAGTATTAAAAACCATTCGTCTCCATTCACTCCTATCAAACACGCTCATGCACGCCTGCTGGAAGTCCAAGCCCCTCCCACACAAAACCTCCTTTACCTCCTCCCTCCAACCTTTCCTAGGCCGACCCCTACCCCGCCTTCCTTCCACTACAGACTGATACACTCTTGAAGTCATTCTGTTTCGCTCCATTCTCTCTACATGTCCGAACCACCTCAACAACCCTTCCTCAGCCCTCTGGACAACAGTTTTGGTAATCTCGCACCTCCTCCTAACTTCCAAACTACGAATTCTATGCATTATATTCACACCACACATTGCCCTCAGACATGACATCTCCACTGCTTCCAGCCTTCTCCTTGCTGCAACATTCATCACCCATGCTTCACACCCATATAAGAGTGTTGGTAAAACTATACTCTCATACATTCCCCTCTTTGCCTCCAAGGACAAAGTTCTTTGTCTCCACAGACTCCTAAGTGCACCACTCACCCTTTTCCCCTCATCAATTCTATGATTCACCTCATCCTTCATAGACCCATCCGCTGACACGTCCACTCCCAAATATATGAATACATTCACCTCCTCCATACTCTCTCCCTCCAATCTGATATCCAATCTTTCATCACCTAATATTTTTGTTATCCTCATAACCTTACTCTTTCCTGTATTCACTTCTAATTTTCTTCTTTTGCACACCCTACCAAATTCATCCACCAATCTCTGCAACTTCTCTTCAGAATCTCCCAAGAGCAAAGTGTCATCAGCAAAGAGCAACTGTGACAACTCCCACTAAAAACAACCATGGTGACATCACACATCCTTGTCTAAGGCCCACTTTTACTGGGAAATAATTTCCCTCTTTCCTATGTACTCTAACTTGAGCCTCACTATCCTCGTAAAAACTCTTCACTGCTTTCAGCAACCTACCTCCTACACCATACACCTGCAACATCTGCCACATTGCCCCCCTATCCACCCTGTCATACGCCTTTTCCAAATCCATAAATGCCACAAAGACCTCTTTAGCCTTATCTAAATACTGTTCACTTATATGTTTCACTGTAAACACCTGGTCCACACACCCCCTACCTTTCCTAAAGCCTCCTTGTTCATCTGCTATCCTATTCTCAGTCTTACTTTTAATTCTTTCAATAATAACTCTACCATACACTTTACCAGGTATACTCAACAGACTTATCCCCTAAAATTTTTTTGCACTCTCTTTTGTCCCCTTTGCCTTTATACAAAGGAACTATGCATGCTCTCTGCCAATCCCTAGGTACCTTACCCTCTTCCTACATTTATTAAATAATTGCACCAACCACTCCAAAACTATATCCCCACCTGCTTTTAACATTTCTATCTTTATCCCATCAATCCCGGCTGCCTTACCCCCTTTCATTTTACCTAATGCCTCACGAACTTCCCCCACACTCACAACTGGCTCTTCCTCACTCCTACAAGATGTTATTCCTCCTTGCCCTATACACGAAATCACAGCTTCCCTATCTTCATCAACATTTAACAATTCCTCAAAATATTCCCTCCATCTTCCCAATACCTCTAACTCTCCATTTAATAACTCTCCTCTCCTATTTTTAACTGACAAATCCATTTGTTCTCTAGGCTTCCTTAACTTGTTAATCTCACTCCAAAACTTTTTCTTATTTTCAACAAAATTTGTTGATAACATCTCACCCACTCTCTCATTTGCTCTCTTTTTACATTGCTTCACCACTCTCTTAACCTCTCTCTTTTTCTCCATATACTCTTCCCTCCTTGCATCACTTCTACTTTGTAAAAACTTCTCATATGCTAACTTTTTCTCCCTTACTACTCTCTTTACATCATCATTCCACCAATCGCTCCTCTTCCCTCCCGCACCCACTTTCCTGTAACCACAAACTTCTGCTGAACACTAACACCCCATACCTCTTCGACCCCATTGCCTATGCTCTCATTAGCCCATCTATCCTCCAATAGCTGTTTATATCTTTCCCTAACTGCCTCCTCTTTTAGTTTATAAACCTTCACCTCTCTTCCCGGATGCTTCTATTCTCCTTGTATCCCATCTACCTTTTACTCTCAGTGTAGCTACAACTAGAAAGTGATCTGATATATCTGTGGCCCCTCTATAAACATGTACATCCTGAAGTCTACTCAACAGTCTTTTATCTACCAATACATAATCCAACAAACTACTGTCATTTTGCCCTACATCATATCTTGTATACTTATTTATCCTCTTTTTCTTAAAATATGTATTACCTATAACTAAACCCCTTTCTATACAAAGTTCAATCAAAGGGCTCCCATTATCATTTACACCTGGCACCCAAACTTACCTACCACACCCTCTCTAAAAGTTTCTCCTACTTTAGCATTCAGGTCCCCTACCACAATTACTCTCTCACTTGGTTCAAAAGCTCTATACATTCACTTAACATCTCCCAAAATCTCTCTCTCTCCTCTGCATTCCTCTCTTCTCCAGGTGCATACACGCTTATTATGACCCACTTCTCGCATCCAACCTTTACTTTAATCCACATAATTCTTGCATTTACACATTCATATTCTCTTTTCTCCTTCCATAACTGATCATTCAACATTACTGCTACCCCTTCCTTTGCTCTAACTCTCTCAGATACTCCAGATTTAATCCCATTTATTTCCCCCCACCGAAACTCCCTACCCCCTTCAGCTTTGTTTCACTTAGGGCCAGGACATCCAACTTCTTTTCATTCATAACATCAGCAATCATCTGTTTCTTGTCATCTGCACTACATCCACGCACATTCAAGCATCCCAGTTTTATAAAGTTTTTCTTCTTCTCTTTTTTTAGTAAATGTCTACAGGAGAAGGGGTTACTAGCCCATTGCTCCCGGCATTTTAGTCGCCTCATACGACACGCATGGCTTACGGAGGAAAGATTCTTTTCCACTTCCCCATGGACAATAGAAGAAATAAAGAAGAACAAGAGCTATGTAGAAAAAGGAGAAAAACCTAGATGTATGTATATATATATGCATGTGCATGTCTGTGAAGTGTGACCAAAGTGTAAGTTGGAGTAGCAAGATATCCCTGTTATCTAGCGTGTTTATGAGACAGAAAAAGACACCAACAATCCTACCATCATGCAAAACAGTTACAGGTTTCTGTTTCACAGTCATTTGGCAGGACGGTAGTACTTCCCTGGGTGGTTGCTGTCTACCAACCTACTACCTCACATAAATGTTACTACGTATTGTAGTTTCAATCCCTTAACCATAATTATATGTAGCTGTATATGAATAGGCTTACTACTGCTTGTTATCTATCACAATATATCCACAAAATGGATCAAGAGAAAATGAGAGCCAGCAGTAGTAAACTCTTGCCTACACCCACTCACGAGGATAACCTTCCAGAATTTCCTATGTAGTGCAACACAGGTGGGAGAAATTTGCAGGACAGGTGGAGAGAACGAAGGTCTAACACCTGAAAACCTCACAAAGAACTGTTACATAATGAGCAATCCAAGGATTTTGTAGAGCATCCTTGCTTAAGACTGTGCACAACTGTATTAAACAGACCATACCACGGGCAGGGATTGAACCCGCGATCAGAGTGTCTCAAAACTCCAGACCGTCACGTTAGCCACTGGACCAGCTAGCCACAATAAGATTCGTCCAACTAGGTACATTTCTACACCATAGGAAGGTTAGCACAGGCACCACTGTGACCACAAATGCAAGTTTTTACAGACGAATCTCCAGCTAGCGTGGCCGTGACGAACTCTAGCTCAAGTCCCCTCAAAGCCGTTAACATGACTCATGACTCGCATGGCTAACACGACGGTCTGGAGTGTTGAGACTCTCTGATCGCGGGTTCTTTCCCCGCCCGTGGTGTGGTTTGTTTGCAATCGTGTCATTACGATTTTGTGAGTCTTGTATTAAACAGATTAGTTTGTACATTCCATGACTTGAATTATAAAAGGAATTCCTATAATTTTTTATGAGGGAGGATTCAAATATGTTTTTTCCCTTGACGTAACTATTGGGTACAATGACCTGAGCTGCTGTCTACCTCGGCAGATGATTACAAGTACTAACATGATTAAAGACTTCATTTGACTCCTGAGCCATCCTAATCAGGTGAAGATTCAATGCCATCAGTCTATTCTCACAGGAAAGATTTCTGATACATGGGACCCACATGCAACTGCTCAGCTTTAAATCTATAAAACTACAGTATTATATTAAATATCTGGAATATCACTCAAGTGTGTACAATATTAAAATACGTATATTAATTTTTAAAGGAGGGGATCAGTGAGCTTCAGTGGTGCATCAACATACGAGTAAGACCTGTGTCAGGAAACACTTGTCCTGTTTCCTGACGAAACTTACCAAACCTTATCCGCATAGGAACAGTAAGGATTCGTGGCTGGCTTACACTCAGCTCACGGAGGATTGAACCTCCACCACACATTTTGCAAATGACCCATATAGATTTAGTGTTTCAAATAAATAAATCCACTAACCCCGGTTCAGTGTCCACTGAAGTGTCGGTGGAGGAGCGGAGAACAACAGTACCAGTGTGGGGGAGCTCAATGTTAGCATGCTGGTGGAGGTTCACTGTTATATCTTTTTGTGAAGTGTTGATCACCAGCATGTACGTCAGGGCACCTTCAAGGTATCTGTATACAAACACTCAGTTTTACGATGTATGTGGAAAACGACACTTGTGTACATTTCAGGACATTCATTAAAGGAAGCTTTTTGCCACAAGTGGCTTCATCAGTCCTAATGATGAAGAAATACACATGCATGAAACATCTAGGTATCTTTATTTGTAGACATTTGGCCAACCAGTGGCTTTATCAATACAATATGATGACAATGTGAAGAACGATGAATTATATGTATATAAAAGACGAGGTAATCAGTCCCTCAGCCTTGGAGTTGAAGAACACCATAGTCTACAAGACTATGAAGGGCTCTTGATCCAATGAATTGGTGCAAACTTCCCTTTTCTTTATCAAATCTGATTATTTTCCACTCCCTGATTATCCATTCTCCAGAAGCTGTACGATTCTTATGGGTTCAGTGAATGTAATTACACTATTATAATGAAAAAATTTTATTGCTTCAAATTATTATTAGAATATAAACTGTTGCTTTAACAATCTATTAAACACAATAATAAGACAAAGGCAGTCCATCATTCTGGTGTCTCTGTAATTGACATATAAAATGAGAATCAAAATATGATCACAAACCTGATGAAGCTAAAAATTTGTGCATCGACCACTGGGAAGGCGAGGTGACCCTTCCTGAAGACGTCGTCTTTCCTGAGCTGAGTCAACTCCTCATAGAGTTTGAGATGGCTGGCCTTGGCCTGTCTCTGAGCCTTAACGTTGAGTGTCTTGTAGTTGGGATTAACAGGTAGCCAGGTGGTGTTGGCTGTGGTGAACCCTGTCAGAGAGAGAGCACTGCAATCATGTAACACTGTCAGGGTGAGAGAATTGCAACCATTACACACTGCATGAAATGCTTTAATAAGTTTTGTTAGGTAGTATTTGAGGGAGTCAGAAAGGCCGGTGATGTGATGTCTGCATCCGTCTCTGTTTATCTTGTCTGTCAGTACCTTTGTCTATATTTTTACACAGAACAATTTTACAGGCCAAGAACTGTTATCCTGCCTTAGCTGATTTCAAAGCCTATCTCTATCTGAGGTATATTACCACTCCCCAGGATGCCACCCACAACAGTCGGCTAACACATCGCTTTTCTTCCCTCCCTCTTTCTATTCTGTCTCCACTAATTGTAGTTTTCATGAAATAAGAATGCAAGATGCAGGTGTCTTAATCAGCTGTTCAATCAGCTTAACATCAATTTATTGCAAACAAATGAGGACTGTTATAAGGGACATTATTGTTGATTTTCTGGAGCATAACTAAATAGCTGGAAATTTTGCTACAAAAAGATCACACCTGACAAAAAAAAAACAAAAAAAAAAAAACAAGGTTCCCTCACCGAAGATTGGTAGCAAAAATAAAGGCACATGATACTGGAGACATGCATCATCCTTGAATTCTGAGTAATGATGGACTCACCAAGAAACAGTGAGTGGCAGTGGCTGTGATGGTTTAAAAAGAGACGTGAACAAACACAGGACATATTTATTAGAAAACGCTTCAGTCCTGGGACCTTGATCAAGGTCCTGAGACTGAATTGTTTTTTAATAAACATGTAACATGTCCTAGTGTTTGCTCAAAGTGTTTTTTTTAACCAATTTGTTGGTATCAATACCAAGGTTTATGATGTCTGATGAGCTAGAAGTTAAGAGGGTATTTCCTCAACGATCGGTACTCGGTCCAGTCCTTTTCATAATAGACCTAAATTATCTCCAAATATGGATAATGTCTAAAATGGAAAAATTCGTGAATGACACTGCAAGCAGAATGTCTGAGTATTCAGAGTGATCTGGATAAGATGGTACTGTGGTCGAACTTTGATGTTGTATTTTGGAGATTACAGTGTCAAACATGAGCATAAAATATTTAACAACAAATACCGAAAGAAGAGAAGAACATAACCTTAGAGTAAACATCTGTAATGCCTTTAGAAGTATCAAACCATATCTTCTGTGAGTGGCATAGCACACAGACAAATTCTGAATGCAGAACACCATAAACAATACTGACTCTCAAACATATTTGGTTTTTGTTCCCAGCATACATAAAAGTTGAAGTTAGACTGGAGAGGTAGGAAGATAGAAAGTAAGCTAGTATCATCACTTAAGAAACAAACCACATGTTGGGTAAACACACTAAACCTTTACTTTCTTAGGAAACAGACACAATGAAGACTACAGGAGGGCCCCACTTATACGGCAGGTTAGGTTCCAGGCTACCGCCGTAAAGCGGAAACCGCCGTAAAGTGGAACACCCTTTTTTTCCACTTATAAATGCATACAAACACTAGATAACAAGTTTACACTAACATATATTAAGTTAGCAATAGAACCAGGCATCAAAAAACAATAAAAAAGTACAATACACACATAGTGCACTCATTACTTACCTTAAAATATTTATAGTCTTAATCTAGGGTGAGACAAGTAGTATTTATTGTATATAATCAAGTGTGGTATGTATGGTAATAGCCAGGCTACCATACCAGGCCACCCCACCCACACATACTATTCTATGATATTTAAGCATCCCAGAGCGATAAAATGTATATACAGTTCACTCATTACTTACCTTAAAATATTTGTAGTCTTAATGTAGGGTCAGGAGTAAGTAAATGAGATAAAACGAATAAATGGGAGAGAGAAAGAATGAGTACATGAGAGGGGACAGGCGCAGAGTTATGTAAACAAACCAGGCGAACGTAAGTTTTGTAAACAAACGAAGTGTACACGTCTGGTTTGTGTACAAGTTACATTGTGTACAGGTTGTCTCTACATTGATACGGTAGAATTAATAAAGAAGAACACTCCCATTCTCATGTAACATCATTTTGAGAAGAAATGATGCTCTGAGTGAAGGCAATGGAAATAAGTCACACTGACTTTTTTGGGTTATCCTAGGTTCTCTACACATATGTTGTTATGTATGATAATCTATGTAACTGTATTTGTGTATACCTGAATAAACTTACTTACATACATACGAAAGTTATAATTTTCTACAGTTACCCCCAGTAACACATTTTCTCTTATGTTAGATTAGAGAAAATGTTATTCTTGCCATCACTTGTAAAAGTTATGTGGCTCCCACATCTTATATTTATATTTATTTATTCTATTGCGGGGTGTATTTATCATCTTTTTATGTTATGTATCGTGTTTATTATATAATTTTGAAAAAAAATATGGATGGATTAATGAAAATGTGTATATTAACGTAATATACGACATTTAATGAGACTCGGTGAGTATTGTTATTATTATCATCATTTCTAATATGGCGTCACTTATGCAAGTCGTCTGCTACCACATCTCACATTTATGTTTATTTATTCTACTGTGGGGTGTATTTATCTTATTTATATGTTATGCATTGTGTTTATTATATAATTTTGAAAAAAATATCATGGATGGATTAATGAAAATGTGTATATTAACGTAATACAGTGGACCCCCGGTTAACGATATTTTTTCACTCCAGAAGTATGTTCAGGTGCCAGTACTGACCGAATTTGTTCCCTTAAGGAATATTGTGAAGTAGATTAGTCCATTTCAGACCCCCAAACATACACGTACAAACGCACTTACATAAATACACTTACATAATTGGTCGCATTTGGAGGTGATCGTTATGCGGGGGTCCACTGTATACGACATTTAAATGACTCGATGATTATTATTATCATTACTAATATGACGTCTGGAGACATAAGACACTTACCAATTTTAATGTGTACCTGCATGCCAGCACAGTATGTAAGTTTATTTAGGTACAGGTATACATAAGTATAATTATCAGAGTATATATAAAATATGAAATAACTTTTAAAAACATTTGAAATTTTGGAGTTTCCAGACAAAATGGAGAGACTTAGTGCTTACTGAGTTCATGGAGAATGTAAACAAACAGGGTGAGGCACGGTGACCGTATTAGAAAGTCAGGTGGGGGGAGCCGTATAGCGAGTTTTGGTCATAATTTGAAATGTCCATATTAGCGGAATGCCGTAAAGTGAAACGCCATAAAGCGGGGCCTTCCTGTATATGGAATGACTGATACACTGAAAAACAAACTATTCGAAATTCAAAGCAAATCAATAATTTAAAAGAATGGAATGAAACTTAGAGGCAAAAGTTTCCTGTAAACAGAATTATAGCTCCTTCAAATAAATTACTCGCTGAAGTTGTAAGTGAAGACAAAAACACAGTTATTGACAAACACGTGCTACCTCAACTTTGCAAGCAGGATTCAACTAGATGCTATGTAGGAATAAACTGTGGTCAACTTATTCCAGATGGTAATTCAGACCTACTTCATAATTATCAGTTTACAATAAGCCATGCAGGATATAGTGATAATAGTATTAAAAGTAAAGGCAGCAGGGATGATTGTAGTGGAAACAGCAGTGACTTACTCACCACCTCTGCTCACACTCACCTACAAAGTTTTCAATTCATGTTTAAAAATGTGTTTTTAATACTGGGATACTGAACTTAAATCTGAGATTTGTTTTGCTCCAACATGCATGGTTTCTCTCAAAAAGAAACCCACGATGAACCATTTATTATTATTAAAGATATAGCAATATGAGTATAGGTGAACCATACTGATCACTAACAACAAAGCTGAAACTTTCACTCTCACGCTCGCTCTCTCACGCTCGCTCTCTCACACTCGCTCTCTCACACTCGCTCTCTCACACTCGCTCACTCACACTCGCTCTCTCACACTCGCTCTCTCACACTCGCTCTCTCACACTCGCTCTCTCACACTCGCTCTCTCACACTCGCTCTCTCACACTCGCTCTCTCACACTCGCTCTCTCACACTCGCTCTCTCACACTCGCTCTCTCACACTCGCTCTCTCACACTCGCTCTCTCACACTCGCTCTCTCACACTCGCTCTCTCACACTCGCTCTCTCACACTCGCTCTCTCACACTCGCTCTCTCACACTCGCTCTCTCACACTCGCTCTCTCACACTCACTCTCTCTCACACTCACTCTCTCTCACACTCACTTCTCTCTCACACTCACCTCTCTCACACTCACCTCTCTCTCTCACACTCACTCTCTCTCATCACTCACACTCTCTCTCACACTCACTCTCTTTCACACTCACTCTCTTTCACACTCACTCTCTTCACACTCTCTTTCACACTCTCTTTCACACTCTTCACTCTCTTTCACACTCTTTCACACTCTCTTTCACACTCTCTTTCACACTCTCTTTCACACACTTTCACATCTCTTTCACACTCTTTCACACTCTCTTTCACACTCACTCTCTTTCACACTCACCTCTTTCACACTCACTCTCTTTCACACTACTTACACTCACTCTCTTTCACACTCATCTCTTTCACACTCACTCTCTTTCACACTCACTCTCTTTCACACTCACTCTCTTTCACACTCACTCTCTTTCACACTCACTCTCTTTCACACTCACTCTCTTTCACACTCACTCTCTTTCCATCATTCTTACACTCACTCTCTCTCACACTCTCTCCCTCTCTCTCACACTCTCTCTTCACACTCACTCTCACCTCACTCTCTCTCACACTCACTCTCTCTCACACTCACTCTCCTCTCACACTCACTCTCTCTCCACACCCCACTCTCCTCACCTCACTCTCTCTCACACTCACTCTCTCTCACACTCACTCTCTCCACACTCACTCCTCTCACACTCACCTCTTCACACTCACTCTCTCTCACACTACTCTCTCTAAACCTCACCCCTCACCACTCACTCTCTCACACTCACTCTCTAAACCTCA